AATGGCCGGAGTCCCCGCGTTGGCGGCTGGAGCGGCGGCATCGGCGGCACTTCCGACGGCGGCGGCGGCGGCGGCCGGCGATCATGTTTTCCCGCAGCTGCAGCGGGGACAATGGCCAGACTCCCCGCGGTGGCGGCAGGAGCAGCGGCATCGGCAGCAGCTCCAGCGGCGACGGCGGTGACCTCCGGTGTCAGTGTTTCCCCCGCGGCGGCGGCGGGGGTCGCCGGGGTCCCCGCAGTGGCGACAGGAGCGGCGGCGGCATCGGCAGCAGCTCCAGCGGCGACGGCGGCGACCTCCGGCGGCAATGTTTCCCCCGCGGCGGTGGCGGGGGGGGTGGCCGGGCCTCCCGCGGTGGTAGCAGGAGCGGCGGCATCGGCAGCAGCTCCAGAGGCGACGGCGGCGACTTCCGGCGGCGGTAGTGTTTCCCTCGCAGCGACGGCGGGGGAGACGCCCGGTGGGCTCGCGTCCGCAGCTGGAGCAGCGGCATCGGCGGCGGTTCCAGCGGCGACGGCGGCGGCACCCGACGGTGTTGTTTCTCCCGCTGCGGCGGCGGGGAGAATGGCTCGAGTGCCCGCGCAGGTGGCTACAGGGGCGGCATCGGCGGCCGGAGTGGCGACATCGGTGAGGCACCGTCCGCGACCGCGGCGACGGCACCGGCACCGGCCGCTACGATGGCGACCGTCGGTGACGCGTCCCCCACCACATCGGTTGGGGGGGCGGCCAGCACGTGCAACGGAGAAGCAGTAGTCAACGACATCGACGACGGCAGCGACGACGGCGGTTGCTGCGCAGGTGAGGTTGGTGACTGCTGGGATGACGTCGTCTGTGGCGAGAGGGGGGCGTCCACGCACCCTTCCGATCCCGGTACCGTGTGTTCAGGGGTGCGCGGCGCCAACGATCCCGCGGTGGACGACCTGGTCGATGGCACCAGCAGCAGCAGCAGCAGCAGCAGCGGCGGCGGCGGCGGCAGCAGCAGTAGCAACGACGAGGCAGAGGGGATGGATGTGGCCTGGTTTCGGGCACTGCTGCGCCCCTTCGACCCGGGGAAGCTGTGCCGGCTGAAGGCTGGGAGAGTGGGGCCTGTGCTGGGAGTGGACACCCCGTTCGACCGTGGAAAGATGTCGCGGGAGCAACGGCCGGGGCGCCCGTGTTCGCGACCGGAGCAGCGGCAGGAGGACCATGAAACGGGGAAGGGGGTCCGGAGGATCGGGCGAGTCCAACAATGACGGCAAGCAGCATGACTTCTGCTGGGGTCTTAATCTCGCCAAGGCACGTGATGTTTGAGTGCGTATTCGTTTTGCTTTGATTTGGTGTTGTGCAGTCTGTTGCTTTGTGTTTGGTCTTCAGATGTTTGAAAGTCTGCAAATCATGTTTCCTCTTGTTGGCACATTTGCAGCTTTGGATTTGCTTTGTTTTGTTCTGTAGAGATGACCGCTCGCGTTTTACCTTGCAAGGACACCAATTTCCACGGCCAAAGGGCAGGAAATTTCCATGGTAGATTATTGTTGTTTTTCTGGGAGGCAAATGGAATGTTGCGGCAGGGGGGCTGTTGTTTGCCTGGAAACCTATCTCAATTGGCGGTGATAGTATAGTTCTGCGTGTACATTTTGTTCCACATTGATTTTTCCTTCTTTGTTGGGGTAACACTCTATGGTAGTTACCGCTCTATGTTTTTCTGGTGATACTGGATATACGTAGGCGTTGGCTTGGCGTTCGACATACTGGATGAAAAGGCTGGGGGGCACGCACGGTTCCTCTCTCCCTCTGATGCACCGGTACCCGACAAGTCAATCCTTGCGGAGTATCAATTTTCTTCCCAAGTAGGCCAAGTCGTGTGATGACATGGATTTTTTGGTACCACAGACTGGTAGTTGTGCTGAACGTGTGATTTGTTTTTTTCTTTGATTTATTTTGGTTTCTTGTTTCTGTTTGGAGTTGATGAAGTCGGATACAGAATTGGCATACTGGATGTTGCAGAATCACGCCTGATTGTTGCACTGCAGTCGGAAATCATGGGGGGGGGATGTGATACCATGCTGTCCGCCGCAGTAACAAGCAGTATTATTTCTGACTTTGGGTTTGGTAGTTCATGTTTGGATTTTCCATGTTTTGCCTGCGGATTTTATATGGAATTGATGTTGACTGATGGGATGTGTGTAGTTCATGTTTGGATCGATCATTTTCTGCGTTTTTACCTGAGAGTTGATATGGAATTGAATACTGAATCGGATTTTAGTTGCATTTGTATGAGATGTCCCAGCAGGGGAGCTGTTGGATGGATTAGCTGAGATGCAGGAATCGAAGCTGCAGCAGTTTTGATGAACGCTTTACTAGACGCTTGTTTCCGAACACGTTTGGGATTACTTCATCGGTTTGTTTGCGGACTTTGCTTTTGCATTGGTATGTCTGCGGAAGGTTTCACACCCTGCACAACTTTAAATAATAACCAACTAAGTTAGTTGTTTGCCAGACAACTACCGGCTAGTTGTTTGTAAACACCTAGTTGCGCGCGCTCCTGAAAGAGTAGTCATCTACAGGCATCTAGGTGCGCACGCTCCTGGAAGAGTAGTCATCTACAGGCAACTCGGTGCGCACACTTCTGGAAGCGTAGTCATCTACAGGCAACTCGGTGCGCACACTCCTGGAAGCGTAGTCATCTACAGGCATCTAGGTGCGCACGTTCCTGAAAGAGTAGTCATCTACAGGCAACTAGGTGCGCACACTCCTGGAAGAGTAGTCATCTGCAGGCAACTAGGTGCACACAAATCTGAACCAGTAGGTGTCTGCAGGCAACTAGGTGCGCGCCCTCCTGGAAGAGTAGCTGTCTGCAGGCAACTAGGTGCGCACTTTTCTGGAAGAGTAGCTGTTTGCAGACAACTAGGTGCGCACTTTCCTGGAAGAGTAGTTGTCTGGCAAACAACTACCAACTAAAG